AGAGCTTGAATCTTTTATTGACCTGTTAATTCAGAATATTTCTATCAGAAATCTTTGCTCTTTTGGGAGATTTTAATGCCCAACTGTGTTCTGAGGATATTCTTTCCTCCAGCTCAGTTAATGGGATGTTATCTTCACTTCCCCCATGACATTCTAAAGACAAAGTGAGAAATTCCTCAGGCTATACTACTGAGGGGAAAATCAGTAGTTTTGGTGCAAGCGGCGTGCACACACCTAACATAGAATGGACATGAGCAAGCACTCAAAGTAGAACTGAAGCATTTCAGAGAATGCTACCAGGGAGATCTTGGGCTTTAATCACTTCCCAAATCAAGCTTTGCCTCACAGAGCTCTTAGGAGCAGTTAATTCACACCTGCCATCCTATGACCCAGAACTAGAAGCTCAACTCTGACAGGACTCCACTACGGGGATCTGACTGTTGGAACTCTGGGGTCCTGACTGGTTCCCTGCTTCTATTTAAACAAAGCACAGGGACAGGAAATTGTCCATGCAATGGGGTTTCTCCTGCTTAGGACTGCATCTCTTGCACTACTTGCTCCTACTGCCTGACTCTGGTCTCCTGGTAACCTGACCCTGCCTGTCTCCTGACATTGGATTCTCGGTTTGCCCTCAGGCATATCTCAGACTCTGATCTCCTGGTATCTGACCTGACCTGGGTCCTGACTCCTGCTCAGACCATTAGGTCAGAGCTCCCATGTCCCAGTTGTGACATGGTATTACTGCTATTTCTTCTCACAGATGTTTTGCACAGATTTCCTCAGGATGGTGAAGGGGAAGGAAGACGTTGAGTAGGTGGCCCTAGCTAAAACACCTGCAAGGTTTTGTTACAAGAAGAGTGTGGTTGTAGTGCAGAGAAAACATAACAGATTATCAGACATTCCCTCAGTATGCTTGACGAGGTGGGGGTACTTCTGAACATGCAACAATACTAGCATTCCTGTAGTAGCCTGAATAATTTCTGCCTTCTCCAGTACCTATTAGAAACACCAAGATTGACAGGTATATTGTGAAATGTAGTTTAATGTTAACCTGCAAAACATAGGCAAAAGTCCTCACTCCACTACCATTAACAACATACCTATATAGTGTAGTTGTCTGTATATTGTTATCTTGTTGATGGCTTGTTTTGTTGCTGAGAATATCCAACTCTTTGCACAATAGGATTATTTATGATCATTCTAAATTTTACCCAGATGGTATTTTGAATGAAGAACATCTAGATAGCAGGCAATGTTCTGGCTATTTGTATCCTGCATGCATTCTGCAAAAACTGGGAATGTGTTCCGAGGTCTTTAAGGAAGATATATAAATATTTTTGTTGACCATTATTATATAAGCTCTTAGGAGGTGTAGCTAATGGTCATAATTAATATTTTTAATTTTATCTTTTGATATTTTATATAGCAACTGTTACTAAGAAGCTCTACATCTTAAGGTACTTCCAAGGATTCAGAATTGTGACAGTGTCCTATAGCAGCACATTAATACTGGTTATGGAACATCAAAGGATGTTAATACAGATATTTTAATTCAGCTCAACAGTTCTGCATCTCTCACTATATACAGTTATTATGTTTAGATTCATTTTTCTTTTTGTTGTTTGATGGATTGACTTTGATTCTTGAATGAATGCTTTAGTGGGAAGCTATTAAAACAGGAGAAGTTCTAATATTTATTATGGAACAACAATAATTATAATTGAAGCTGGTTTCCTATTATCCAGACTTTCTCACGAAAAAGAATCCAATCTCCTGAAATTTCACTTGTCACATGTCATCACAGGGTAGAATTCTGTGAAATCTGGGGGGAGGGGGGAATCAAGTGATTTAGCTGGGGATTGGTCCTGATTTAGTTGGGGATTGGTCCTGCTTTGAGCAGGAGGCTGGACTAGATGACCTCCTGAGGTCCCTTTCAACCCTGATATTCTATGATTCTAGCTCATCTGGGAATTCCTTTAGCTGATGAAGCAATTTTGCACTTTTGACTTCTTTCTAGCTCAGGGATGTCAAGTTCCCGCTAATAGTTCTGTCCACTACAAGGTTAAAACATCTCCTTAGTGACACTCCACTTCTCCTGGTGTATTGCTGATATATGCTTTGTCCATGCTAGTACATTGCAATAACAGGAGGAATGTCGTGCCAAGCCCACTGAAAAAAAGAACACTTCTTTCCTGTTGAACTAAGAACATCTGTTCAGATAAGCCATTGTAGCTTATATTTGATGTGACTAGTATTTAGTGGCCTGTCAATAAAAGGCTGAAATTCCACCAGAGCTAAACTAATTGTTCTTAACTCTAGCAGATTTATGCTCTGAGTTCTTTCCTGGCCTGACCACTGGTTGGGGACCAGGGTCTTCTCACTCATGTTGATCAAACTCATGGGTTTTGAACTTCATAATGACCATCTGGGCAGCTTGCTGGACTCTTATACACAAGATGTCCAAACATGAAAAAGGAGATACAGTCAGCACCAGTATTTCCATGAACATTTAGAAAGAAGGTTAGAGACCAAAAGGAAGAATTTTGTCTTAGTAGTATTCATATTGGTAACACAAATTAAATTAACATCCATAACGATGGAGGCAGGGACAAAAAGGGATGTGGAGAATAAAAACATCCACAAGATCTGTCAATGTAAGGCAATCCCCGGTGGAAAGAGATGCTAATGTGGATGCCAGGGTTTCCATCCTAAATTTATCTTCCTGGTGCTCTTGTTTAATGATCTGAAGGGCTTGTACAGTTCAAAGTCCCCAGTTCTTATTGTGGACCTCCTATGCCTATAAGAGAGTACATAATTATACTAATCTCCATGAAAGAAGTACTGGCTTTCTGATTCCTATCTGTTGGAGAACACTGCTCATGTTGTTGTTCTTAGGGGGCCTGTGGAGTTTGCTGTTATTTTATTAATTATAACAATTATTATTGTTGTATTCCAGTAGCTTTTTCGGGCTCTAACTGATATCAGGGTGCCATTGTGTTAGGTGTTACATATGCACATAATAATAAAATATCCTTGCTCTGAAGAGCTTTTAATCTGAATAGACAAGACAAAGGGTAGGAGAAAAGGAAATACAATCATTCCCATTTTACAAATGAGGAACTAAGACACAGAAAGGTTAAATGTAATGCCCACGGTCATACAGGAGGTCGGTGAGGCAGCTGGGACTGAACTCAGATCTCCTGATTTACAGTCCAGGACCTCAACTACAAGACCAAACTTTCTTATATTTGATTTGGATGAAGTGTTAGTATGGAGTGACCTCAGCAGAGTATCTCCTGTACCCATCTGTCCCTGATATGCTTAGCCAGATGGGGAGAAAACAGAGTTATCTCTACCTGTTCTCTGGCCCAGGAGGCAATGGTCCAAGTCCTGGGAAACTTTCACAGGTTTGATTGGGATCTGAGGTGAAATCCTCATGAGAGCTCCCCCCTCTAGTGGATCTGCTCCACTGTCTGGCCTTAGATTAGGAGAGTTTCCCCTTAAACTGCTTTTGCCACAGTTACAGGGAGGTTTCTGCCTTACTACCATTACGAGTAGCTCACAAACCAAAAAAAGCACAATTGACCATATCCTGGTCCAATACTCCTATTTTGTGTTGTTCCTGTGCATAATGCAGCTCTAAAGACAGCAGATCTGGGTACTCAACACTTACAAAAATAATGCCACTTACTGAGGTAGTTGAATATAGACTTGCTGGTAGAAGCCTAAGTTTAGACACACCTTTTTTAAAATCTTGCTTTTCTGATTGCTGGGAAACTTCTACTTGTTGAGGCTAGTGTCTTACTACCTCATCAGGAAGAATCACCAACTCCTTCTGGAGGTCTCTGGGGAGGTAATTTCTCATTGGCTTGGCTGACTCAGCCTGGAGGCCAACAACAAGCTATTTTAACAGAGTAGTGGCCGCAAATTCTGTTCGAAAAAACATCTCCTGAGTGTCCTAGTCAGATTTAACTAGGGTAACCAGATGTCCCGATTTTATAGGGACAGTCCCGATTTTGGGGGCTTTTTCTTATATAGGCGCCTATTACCCACCACCCCCTGTCCCGATTTTTCACACTTACTATCTGGTCACCCTAGATTTAATGGATTCTGGTTTGGATAACTCACCCTCTTCATGGGACAAATTTCAGGGGTAAAAAAGGGAAGGCTACACTAAAGTATGTTTTGTTTTTGTTTTTTTTCCCCTCAGTGGCTTTGATCTTTGATCTTATGTATCATCCTGCTAAGAGGAGAAGAACAAAGATTCAAAGGTCCAGACTTTTATGGAGGATAAACCTCTGTCCAAAGCACAAAGGTCAGGAGAGTGAATGGAGAGAAGGGAGCCAGTAGGGACAGATCTAGAACCAAAAGCTTCTAATGGGATGGAGGAGGTCCTAGAGTATGATGCAGAGCCATTAGAACTGGAGAAAGGTAGCGACAGAGGGGGGAATTGGCCACACTAGCATGAGCTCTGAAATTGCCTGCCTGTCTGAGGAACTGGAGTCAGGAGCTGGGCTTGTGGGGTACTTGGCTTCCATGATTGACAGCTCTTTGCTGTCTTCATCTCTGTTCACAAATAGCAGCAAGCTCCAATTATAGAATATTGCCATCAATATTCTCGTCAAAGACAATAATTCATAAATGTGCCCATTGTAATACATACTTGGTCAAATTCTGAAGTCTTCACACAGTTTATCTCATTTTTACTCAGGAAAAACTCCCATTCAGTCAACAGTAGCTTTGCTTGAATGAGGACTTCAAAATATAGCATATTTTTTAAACCATAATATTCTTCTCAGTACAGCAGAAAGGGAATTACAATATTTTCCAAAAGTTTTCCCAGGCAATATTTTAGAGTGACCTCAGGATCGTATAATGGAGGCAAGTGATTAAGTAGTGAATGAGTGAAATGGAAAAGCTGCTTAGGTCAGGGAGAGCTATGAAATGTAAAAATATTTTACATAATTAAAATATTTTACATCATTGGTTACTGTACTCACTTTTCCCTCATCTCTTGGGCTATCACTTAGGTGTACAACTGGGCCAGGGTGAGTCTTTGTGGATCTGCAAAACAAAATCAATTCAAAACAATGTAAATTCTTTCAATAAAAAAGGAGATTTATGTTAGATGTTAGGTATGTTAGAGACAAGGCATCCCAAAACTGTTTGGAAAATCGCCATGGTGGAGGATATTTGCACACAATCAACAACAAAACACCTTGCCCCTTATGTAGAATCATGTATTATACTATAAATTCCAGTTATCCTTTCTAACACATGGTAAGTTTGAAGCCCAGGAACAATTTAGATAAATGTGTGTAACAGCCATTAAAAAAACCTATTTTTGCATATGAAAGCATACATTCTGCATACATATAAATGGATATAAATTGTTATATGAGCGATGCTTTCATACTATATTATGTCTAATTACACGATGAGTGAACACCCTCATTCAGAATTAAAGTGCCCTTAATTTGATTAATTTTAATTCACTTCCAAAGTGACTTTAAACTAAACTTAATTAAAGCCACTTTAATTCTGAACAACAGCATCCACACAGGGATTTAATGTGGTTTAACTAATCCACTTCAAAATCACACCTGTAGTTAATTCGGATTAAATTTCCTGGATGTCACTGTGTAGATAAAATATTAGCCTCTCTCTGTTATTACTATCCATTTTATTTGGCAGACCTCTTTCATTTTGTTCCAGCTTTATTATTTTAGTCTGGCAAATATGTAACTGAGTCTTACCGACCCATTTTTCCATAACAAACAACTCTTCCCCCTATAGCAGCAATCTCTTCTTCAATCCCTGTTAATATAGTGTGAATATCAGTTTGCAGATCTTTTATTTCAGGTAATATAATGCATTGGTATCTGCTTGCGTTGGCTGTAGAGAGGGACTTATCTATTTCCTCTTTGCCCACTTTGGTTGCCATATTACTATCTTTGTCATGCAGCGAGAAAGGATCTTCTTCAAAATCCAATTATCTATTTTACTTTCTAAAATTATTTTAAGGTTTTTTTTCAGGGTTGCTATCAGATTTTTTTTTTCCTGCATAGGGATGGTTTTCAGAGGTGATGGAAACAGATATTCTTGCTGCCTTCTTGGACTATGGAGCCTAGGGGCTTGATTCTCCTCTTATTTATATCATTGTAAGTCAAAAGTATCTCAACTGAAGTCATCAGTTACATCTCTGAAAAACCTTTGCAAGTGTGATGAAAATTAGGTTCTATGTGTTCTTACTTACATGTTCCACCTCTCCCCACCACAATAGAGGCCATATTATAAATTGTTACAACTATCTCTGTGAATTAAGCAACACAATCTGCATAACCAAACATTTTTAAGTAAAATGATTACATTACTTAGACTATATTTTAGGAAGATTTCTCTAAAAATGATCAAGACACCAAAAATAAGAAAACTCTTTAAATCTAACCTTTTCAGCATTCCCTCTGTGTGCACAATGGACTCACTCTATGCCCTAAATGGATCCTGTGCCTTATGTATTTCCATATAACATTGTTCTCTGTGATATTATACTGTATTTATATTATGCACCCATTACTTAAGCTTTTAGTGCATTTTCACCCTTAAACATAATTAAAATAAATATTAACCACATAGGGATAGATTCACTAGGGGATTTAGGGACTTAACTACCATTTTAAATCCCAGATTTAGGAACCACTGGCATTTACAAAACCTCCACTCAGCTGCTGCCTAGCCCTTTAGGCATTGCCTAACTTTTTGCAGTAAAAGTTCCCTGTGCACCTATGCTTCTGCCTCTGGGCATGTGCACTGCTGCCTTGCTCTAGGCACCCAGATGCCTAGGCCCCCAGGGTGATCCACCAATTGGGGAACGATAGGTGCTCCTCTGCCTATCTCACCTGCGGGGCCCAATCTGGTAGATGTGCTCAGAGGCCACCTAGCTCCACACAAAACAGTCAAGAGGAGCACCTCTCTCAAAACTTTTAGCACAGTGGTTAAGGTGGGATGCAGGAGATCCCCTGATTGAAGCCCTCCCTCTGCCTGATAAGGTGAGTGCCTTAGCCACCGAGCTATGGGATATTCTAATGCGGGGAGTGCCCTCAGTGTCTCCAGTTGAAGCTGTAGCATGTTTTTAAATTAAGGAGTCATTGGAGCAGGGGGACTGGATCCTTGGTCTCCCATCTCTTAGATGAGGGCTCTAATCACCAGGCTATAGGGTCATTTTCTCTCTGTCTCTGGCCCAGTGAATATTTAGAGATCATAAATGCAAGAATCACTGTGGCCTGGTCTGAGTTCCACAGGACTGGAGGCAATTTTCTGCCAGTTGTAGATGGGTGTGGGTAGTTTGGGCATCCACTAGCAATGAGGAGTTAAAAACTCCAAAGGTGCAAAATGATTTAAAAATCTGGGGGCAGATGAGTCCATGGTCCATAGCAATGTTTTAATTCTAGTATTAAGAGACCTGGGTTTTTTAATTAGTTAACTCTGCCAGATTTGAAATACATGCACATGCACATATCCCAGTCAATGCATAAGAATAAGCTGAGAAGTTGACCCAGCTCTTGCTATCTGGAATGCAATCATCTCACTCAGTTATAGTAAAGTAACACACTTATTTTCCCTGCTGATTTCAGGGTCCTATTGCACTCTAGATGTTACCATGTTAGCATGTCTTTAAGCCATTATTTAAACATATTATTTTATTCCCTTATTCAACACAGTTCACCTGTCTCTTCTACCTCAAAGACAGAAGCTAGATTATCTATCCAATCTTCCTTTATTCTAAAAACTTTCTATTTCATTTTCTCTCCAGTAAATTTTCAGAACCCTTCTCCATCTTTCAATTGCTAAGTGCATTTTGCTGTTTTTTCCCTAAAACAGCTCCTAATCACTCACCTCTTTTTCTAAGGTTCCCAGAAACATTGCTTTTATTTCTGTTTATATATATTATTTCATTTTAGAAATGTGAAAATATTTATCAGGCTATGGCACTCGCATTATTACCAATCCTGCATTCTTTATTCAGGAAATCTGACTGTCCTATTGGTATGAATGTACAATTAAGGATTAGACTGTGGTTTCTTACCCACAGCCCTACCTGAGAAGAAGCATCGGACTGATTGTACATGAAAGCAATGATTTTTAATGAAGCTATAAACTCAGGGGTTGTACCCCGTAACTGGAGAATTGCTAATATAATACCTATTTTTAAGAAAGGTGAAAAAAGTGAGCTGGGAAACTACAGGCCTGTTCGTTTGACTTTAATGGTATGTAAGGTCTTGGGACAAATTTGGAAAGAGAAAATAATTAAGGACATAGAAATAAAAGGTAATTGGGATAAAATACAACAGGGTTTTTCAAAAGGTAGATCGTGCCAGACCAACCTGATCTCTTTCTTTGAGAAGATAACTGATTTTTTAGACAAGGGCTATGCAGTAGATCTAATTTCCCTGGATTTCAGGAAGGCATTTGATACTCTTCCACATGGGAAACCATTAGTTAAATTGGTGAAGATGGGGATTAATATGAGAATTGAAAGGTGGGTAAGGAACTGGTTAAAGGGGAGACTACAGTGAGCCATACTGACACATGAACTGTCAGGCTGGAGGGGGACTGCTAGTGGAGTTCCTCATGGATCAGTCTTGGGACCAATCTTAGTTAACATCTTTATTAATGACCTTGGCACAAAAAGTGGGATTGTGTTAATAAAATTTGCTGATGACACAAAGTTGGGAGGTATTGCCAATACAGAGGAGGACTGAAGTATCATACGGGAAGATCTGGATGACCTTGAAAACTGGAGTAATAGAAATGGAATGAAATTTAATAGTGTAAATTTCAAGGTCATGCACTTAGGAACTAATAACAATAATTTTTGCTATAGACTGAGGATTTACAGTTGGAAGTGACGGAGGAGGAGAAAGACCTGGGCATATTGATTGATCACAGGATGACTATGTGATGGAGCCGTCACAAAGGCTAATGCAATCCTAGGATGCATCAGGTGAGATATTTCCAGTAGAACAGGGAAGTGTTATTACTATTATACAAGGCACTGGTGAGACCTCATCTGGAATACCATGTGCAATTCTGGTCTCCAATGTTTAAGAAAGATTAATTCAAACTGGAAGAGGTACAGAGAAGGGCTACTAGGATGATCTGAGGAATGACAAACCTACCTTACAAGAGGAGACTCAAAGAGCTTAGCTTGTTTAGCCTAACCAAACGAAGGCTGAGGGGAGAAATGATTATTTTCTATAAATACAGCAGAGGGATAAATACCAGGGAGGGAGAGAGTTAAGTTAAGTGCCAATGTTGACACAAGAACAAATGGATATAAACTGGTCATCAATAAATTTAGGCTTGAAATTAGACAAACCATCAGAGGAGTGAAGTTCTGGAACAGCCTTCCATGGGGAGCAGTGGGGGCAAAAAACCTAACTGGCTTCAAGACTGAGCTTGATAAGTTTATGGAGTGGCTGGTATGATGAGACTGCCTACAGTGGCATGTAGCCCATTTGTGACTGCTAGCAGCAAATATCTCCAACAGCTGGTGATGGGACACTAGATGGGGAGGCTCTGAGTTACTACAGAGAATTCTTTCCCAGGTATCTGGCTGGTGGTGGGTCTTGCTGAGATGCTCATGGTCCAACTGACCGCCATATATGGGGTCAGGAAGGAATTTTTCCCCCAGATCATATTGGCAGAGACCGCTGTGGCTTTTTGCCTTTCTCTGCAGCCTGAGGCACGGGTCACTTGCAGGTTTAAACTAGTCAGACTAGATGCTCATGATGGTCCTTTCTGGCCTTAAAGTCTATGAATCTATGAGAAAGGTGAAAGATCTGCCCCATCCCATAGGCAGAGCCTGAGTCTTTTGTCTGGGGAGGCTACGCCCAAGAGTGCCGGAAACTCCCTAGAAGCGGGGAGCCACTGGCTAAGTTCCCTCTAAGCTGCACGGCTGCCTATTAAGCCCCATGCAGGGGCTCAAGGCTGCGGCAGGGAGAGGTGCCCCTCTCCACCGGCCCCAGCACGGACCTGCAGTGGCGGGGAGAAGCATCCCTCACCGCTGGCCCCAGCGCAGACCTGCCTCAGCTGGGAGAGATGAGCCCCTCCCTCAGCCCAGCCCAGCCCAGCCCCGCCGGAGCTGCTGTGGCCGGGGAGAGGGGCCCCAGCCCTGAGCTGCTGCGGCGAGAGAGGGCTCGGGGGAGTCATCTCTCCCCACCGCAGCCCCAGGGCAGCCTGCACCCCAAACCCCTCATCCCTGGCTGCACCCCAGAGCCCACACCCCAATCCTCTGCCCCAGCCCTGAGCACCCTCCCGCATCCCAAACCCCTCATCCCTGGCCCCACCCCAGATCCCACACACTCCTGTACCCCAACCCTCTGCCCCAGCCATGAGCCCCCTCCCACACACTAAACCCCTCATCCCCAGGCCCACCCCAGAGCCCACACCCCCAGCCAGAGCCCTCATCCCCCCACACCCCAACCCTTTGCCCCAGCCCTGGGCTCCCTCTCACACTCTGAACCCCTTGGCCCCACCCTCACCACATGAATTTTGTTATGTGCACCAATATGAAGGTGATGTGTCACACACCTCCATATTGGTGCAAATAACAAAATTAATTCAGCACATGGACGTAAAAAATTAGAGGGAACACTGGCCACCGGTGCCTGGATCATGGCCCTGTTCCCCCGCCCCTCACCTCCTTCCATGGCCCTGCCCGTGCTTCCAACCCCAAGCCCCCACCCCCCCTCCGCCTCTTCCCCCAAGGGCTCACCCACCATTCGCTCCTCTCCACCCACTCACGGCTGGTAAAAAGTGGGAGGGCATAGCCTTCCCACTTTTAAAATTGATGGGGCCACAGTTCCCTGACTCCTCCCCTGCCTGTTCTGGCGCCCCTGCAGATATAAAGCTGAGTTGCTCCAGCATCAGCATAGCAGGAGGAGGAGTCCCACAGCTGGGCCAGCCAGTGAGAGGTAGAACCTGTAGCACCCATCACCAATGGAGAAAGAGTCTTCTAGAGATTACAGCTTCTGCCTCTCGCTTTTTTCCTGCCTTAAGGGCAAGTGATGGCGGGGAGGGGGTGGAGAGGAGCGAGCAGCAGGCAGGGCCTCAGGAAAGAGGCGGGGCTGGGCCCTGGTCTGAGCATTGGTGGGCCCCTCCCACTTCTAGGGAGCTTCTGGTGCCCCTGCTCTCAGACTGCAAAGGCGGCGGCGGCAGGCTGGTGCAGTGCGCCTTCAAGGCAGGGTTGACAAACAGGTTTCTACCAGATAAAGGATGTATGTTCACCTGCCTACATTGTTTCACATTAAATTAAGCATTATAAGACAAGACAATGCATACGTTTGCATACGAAGTCAACATGAGGAAATAAAGTCACCATGAAGTCAGCACACTGGGGAATAAGCCCCAGGTGGTCATCCTGACCACTGGAGACAAAATAATGAATTTTGGGGGATATAAGGAGAAGGCAAAAGGACCCCTCTTTATCTTTCATCAAGGTAGTGCTTTAACATTCATAAAAGAGGGATGCCAGCCACGTTGGCTGGAGATGCTGGGAGATGAGAGAAACTACTTTAGACAAGGGTTTAACCTGTTTAGTGCAGATTCTGGGAAGTGTGTTAAAATTTTGCTTTATATGCAACTTTTCTGTGTTTCATTATTATTCTTACTCACTATCTCTTAAATCTTAGCCTTTGGTAATAATCTTTTGATTGTTTTCACTATAAATGTGCTGTGATGTTATATAGGAAGTGATCCTCAGTTGAATCAAACAAGCTAGTGTGTACACTCTCGTTTGGGGATAGCAAACCTGGTATTTCTGTGAGTAGCCAGTGACAGGAGCTTGATATCACAGGGGAATGCTTCAAAGGAGTTCGGGGATTGGGGTGCACCAACTGTCTCACTGGAGACAGGGATGGTAACAAAGTGACCCCACAGTCCAGGTCACCCGAAGAATGCATCACACCCTCTCTCCATTTCACAAACGTCATAGGTAAACTGAGGTAACCTCTGAGGGGGATGGCATTTAGAAGCCATAGCATTCATGGTCATGGACAATACATTCTGGCTGTGACCTCCCCTACAACTTGGACCAGGGGGAAAAAATTCTCCAGCAAGCTGTATAGTCCAATAGGCTCCATTCATCTTTTCAGGTTGTGGCCTTAATCTAGAGCTGTGGTTTTCAACTTGGGGTCCACAGACCACTTGGGGTCTGCAGATTATGTCAAAGATTTCCAAAGGGGCCCACACCTCCATTCAAAATTTTTTAGGGATCCGCAAATGAAGAAAAGTTGAAAACCACTGGTCTAGAGGATCTGGTGATCAAATTTTGCCAACCTGTATGTTCAATGAAAAAGTTGGGTCCAGAGGATGTTCACTGAGTTTGTGGGATCTATGACTCTCTGTATTTTATTTAGTATTTCAAGCAAATATATTTATTCAGTTAATGACATAGGGTCCCAAACAAATTAAATTAATGGAGATATCCTATCTCCTAGAACTGGAAGGGACCTTGAAAGGTCATCGAATCCAGCCCCCTGCCTTCACTAGCAGGACCAAGTACTGATTTTGCCCCGATCCCTAAGTGGCCCCCTCAAGGATTGAACTCACAACCCTGGGTGTAGCAGGCCAATGCTCAAACCACTGAGCTATCCCTCACCCCATATCTCTTTTTAAAAGATTACATGATAACACTATAATATACCTAGAAACTGAATTTCCTTGAAAAATTCTCGTGATGAATCACAATCAGTACTGCACCAAAATGTTCCTTAAAACAGGAGACTACAAAATAATTCTAGTGATTGGTTATAACCAAGTAATTATCTCAGCAAAGAATCTGAAAAGAACTGCCAGCAATGTGAAAGTGATAGAAAAGTCCACACTTACAGTTCTATTGCCTTGTTCCACATGATTACGTATCCAGAAAGAATGAAGGACTCAATATTTACAATATGTGTATTTCCCCTCTCTGTTCCAACGTAGAGCCATTTACTTTGGAAAGGTAGATGGCAGTAAGTAATCCTGTAAGGGAAAAAGTATCTCACTTAAAGTTGTACCAACAATCATATTTCCAACAAGTTTTCTTTTGAAATAGTTGTCCCTTCTGTTTTCCTAAGGCCAAAGTAGCTTGGGCACAGTTCCCAATATGTGATCTGTGGAGCTGTCACAGCCCGTGGTGCTGGCTCCTCCTTTTTTCCAGCTGATTCTACAGGTGTCCAAACTCTTCCTAGTGAAGACACTGGGAACAAGGAGGAGGAGCCATTCTACCTACCTCTAATAGGGTCAGGAAAGAGGAGCCATCTTAATGTGCTTAGTGCAATCCTGAATGGGAGGGGGTAGACACAGGATAATTTCTTTATGAATATGTGGGCCACACTATGAAAAGTCTGAGAACCGTTGAGCTAGAGATTCCGATTTTCTTCTTTACAAAAAGCTATTTTTCCAGTTCAGTACACAGGCATTAATGAGACATAAGCATGTTTAATGTTTTGTACAAAGGAAATGTAACATTACTATTCACACAAAGAAGTGTTCACTTTATTAGCTCTTAATCAGTCTAGAGGGTATGGAGCCGATAAAGCATTACCAAGTGCAGTCAAGCAGAGATATGATTTATACTCTCACTCCCACATTCATACCATAGCCCAGTGCTATATCATTTAGGAAAAATCTCATGATGGTCTCTTGTGATAAGATACAACAATTTTCATAAAGATGATGAATGAATAGAGTCAATTTTTTTGACATTACAATATTTACATTACATTAAAAAGAGAACCACATGAGATATGTAGACTATTTGCAGCTCAAATCTAATTATATCTATACTGCCTACATAGACTGAAACTCTATCTGATCCAACAGTATATTCTAGCACTCAGGAGGTTTGTCTTTATTAAAAGCACATACTTTGCCTGGTATGCAATACTTTATTACTTTATTATATTTGTCATTCATTTGATTCCAAAAGCAAATATTTCTAGCTTTGAGATTAATTTAGCCATCAACTCCAACATGTATTTTTATCCTGAGTTATTTTTTTAAATGATGACATACACTATTAAAGAATATACATATTTCAAGTTTATGTTTTTATGAAGTATCAATCTTTTTGCCCTGCTTTATAAGGGAATGATAGCTTCCTTCCAGCAATCTTACCTCGTCAAATATGGTAAGGTTACTTAAGTCCTTTGTGTCTAAAAATATTCACAACCTCCTAAACTAAAGGAAGTGTTTCACTTGGAAACTAATTTCACTTATTTATCTGCAGTTATGAGGGACATTTAGCAAGCCATATTCTTTTTCTCCTGACCCCACACAGTACTTTGAATGACTCTGCAGTTTTAAGGCTATATAATCATATGATCAAAACATTTTATGCAGAATACACTCAAATGAATAATTTTACTTCTTCCATTTATATTGATCCAGGTTTAAGGCAGCTAAGTAATGCAACCCTGAAATCCTCAGTCAGGGTGTTCATCCATGATCGGAGGATCAGGATAAGTCTATGCATCATTTCAGTTTTATTTTGATGATTCGAGCGGGACATGGGCCTTGTTCCAGCCCCCTGCACAGGGACAAATTTTACCCTTACAGACTCAATTATGTCAATGGCAAAGATCCCATTAACTTCTGTGGGAGCAGGGCTTTAGGGACAGATTTTTAAAATAGCTTCCAATTTTGCAACGACAGTTTAGCATCTGCAAAGAAAAGTGCCCACTACAGATATCTAAGTGAGAGTGAAATCAGGTAGTCTGACAGCTAACAGGAGCATTTATATCTACAAATATTTGTGGGTGCAAAAATGGAGACCGCTTTTTAAAATCAGACCTTTAGTGCAATTTTAGAAAGTATGTACATATACTTATACTCTGTGTGTGTGTGTGTGTGTGTGTGTGTATATATATATATATATATTTCACTTCTGTTTACTGTTTTGGCTTCATACAAAGATAGTGATGCAATTCAAAAAGTAATATAAAATTAAGTTAAGAGACGCTAACGTAATTGTTTTGTTTATTGAATGATTTATTAAGCACCCATCTTAACACAAAAATTTAAATTAACAGCTAAATCACATGGACACAAATTCAGACAATGTCAACTTTAAAAAACAAATCTGACCAACCAACCATGTCTGCTCCCTATCAGATGACAAAAATCCCTGCTGAACAGATATGTCTGAGATTGAGGAAATGCTGTAACTTGGAAATCACAGTCCATCACCACTGTTCTGGTGCATCCATATACTGTGAGAGTTAAAGCTACAAGCTGTTCTGGGGACTTTGACGTAGCATTATTGGAAACAAATAACTTCAAAAATGGCATAAAAGCAGACCAAAGGAGCCCATCCTATTACTCTTGTGTTTATATTGATACATGTTCCACTTAAGTTCCTTAGGGTCACTTAGCCAACGACGGTCCTTTACGAGACTCATGAGTGTCCATCAGACATTAGACTGCTACATTTGTTACATTTTCAAAGGCACCAAACTTCCTTTCTTCCTCTACACCAGTGATTTTCAACCTGTGGCCCGCGGACCCCTGGGAGTCTGCAGACTATGTCTAAGATTTCCAAAGGGGTCTGCACCTCCATTAAAAAATTTTTAGGGGTCTGCAAATGAAAAGGTTGAACATAACTGCTCTACATTAATGGTTTACCAAGGAGAAGACATGCTGAACCACCATGGCACTGATGCACTTGGTCATCAAAGAAGCAAAACAACCTGAGATAAAGGGTCCTTCACATATAGGGATTGGAGCCCCAAAATGAACTAAAATATATAATGTGAATGCATTGTTAGGCTTCTACACAACAAGCAAAGCACTTTCAACATTATAATGAACTGTCCTGTCTAGTGCACTCCAATTGCCTGAAGTTCATTACTTTTTTTTGGTTATAAAAATTAAATGAAAACTCACTTTATAGTGTTATACTTGAAGTTCTAAATGTTATGAAATATATTAACTTCAATTCAAGGCTTACACATTAGAAACAAACCTCAGGTTCATAATGAAGAAATTTCATTTCAGCAAAACACTATCGCTATGCAATAAGCTTGTAAAAATAGGTATAATGAACTGTGTTATAAAAACTATATTAAATAACATTGGAGAAGTAGATATCTATTTAATAGTGTTATAAGACAATGTAAAAGGGAACTTTTTTGCTTTCTGAATGTGCCTTGTTGACACAGCTTTCAAAGGTTGTAAAAAATCAAAAAGTTGATTTGTGTCTTATCTACACTGGATTCTTGGTCTGTGTAGATAACAGGGCAAAGCAAACCAGACAAATGTGCGATTTTCTAGCCAGATGTAGACCTGCCTAGTAAAACAGACTAGGGACGATGAACACTGACTGAAAGGAGCTAGCCAACCAGTAGAATCATAGAATCATAGAATATCAGGGTTGGAAGGGACCTCAGGAGGTCATCTAGTCCAACCGCCCTGCTCAAAGCAGGACCAATCCCCAACTAATTCCAAGGCTACAATAAGCTTATAAGATAGGATAAGACAAACGTAAGTAACGATGAAATACATGAAAGCAATGAAAAGACAGCTGGACTGAGTAAGTAGGAGGATAGTAAGAGCTTTAAAAAAAGATAGCGAAGGAGGTACCAATTAGAGTTTTAGCAGAATAAGTAAAAATGTATCAGTTATAAGGATTTTGGGTTAGTGTATATGAAAATATATTTAGAATAGAATGTTTATAGATGAGGTACTTTTAATAATCTGCACCTTCATCATGTTACAAGAAAAGGTATAAAGGATGTTTGTTTAACAAAGGGGGTACGGAGCAGCACAGGACTTATACCAGATTGGACCAGCATGAAACTGATGATGACAGAAACAGCCCTACCAGCGCCCCAGGACTGAGTAACTGATCATTACGCTATCCTGCTCTATCTGCTTTACTTATGCTTTATACTTGATTGAGATGGTAGTATATTGTCCTAAAACTTTCTTATTAAAGCTTCAAACTAGTTAGGATTAGTAACTGGCATGGACCGTGTTTTTCATCCAACAAAAACTCTTCAATAAAACACAGTACATTCTTATATATTGTGCTTCAGCTTGTGAAAGAAAGGCATCCTCCCATTAATCACACGTCCCACAATCAAATGAAGATGTATTTTGATGCCTGTGCAAGTAATCAAGGCCAACAGAGAAAAAATAGTGCTCATAATAATGAAAATAGGATCATGATGATTTTATGAAAATGTGAAACACTTTTGCCTATAACAATCTGCTTCATTAAGCTACATGAGTGAACTGGCAAAGAACTTGATCTTTTGAGCTGCTGAGAATCTGCCGAGTCCCAGCAATTCCCACTAAAGTCAATGGGAATTGTAGGTGTTTAGCACATGCTCCACACATTCCTTGGATCAGGTCCAAAGGTTGTACAACAGCTGAAATGGAATGCCATTTTCAATGGGCATCATTAGGACAGTAAAAACCCATGGATTGAATGTGGGATATCTTGAAAGGAATTTCTATGCCTCTTATTCCAGTGCAATACGTTTTACTAGTCTTTCAAGGCATCCAAAACTGAATAGGGTGTTAAAATGGTATGGACAGGGGAATGGAATACTTGTGACCAACCTGTGTATAGGGATGTCCCTGCCAGACTCTGCTTTGTCCATGGAGCTATGCAAACAAGGCAGCATGGCAAATGCTCACTGCAGATAAGTCCATGCAACTGCTATTCTCTAGAGGCTGTTGATTAATCGCAGTTAACTCACGCAATTAACTCAAAAAATTAATCGTGATTAAAAAAATTAATCGCAGTTCTAATCACATTGTTAAACAATAGAATACCAATTGAAATTTATTAAATATTTTTGGATGTTTTTCTACATTTTCAAATATATTGGTTTCAATTACAACACAGAATACAAAGTGTACAGTGCTCACTTTATATTATTATTTTTATTACAAATATTTGCACTACAAGGATGATAAACAAAATACAGTATTTTTCAATTCACCTCCTACAAGTACGGTAGTGCAATCTCTTT